AATGGTCATGCTTCAGCAAGTGCAGAGGAGGGACTAATAAACCCCGCAGAGACAAATTAATGAACTTCCCTTCACAATCCCCTGGTGATGAGGCTTCTCAAGTGAACTTTGTGGCAAACTTTTTCCACCAGATGAGAAGGGAGTGCAAGTTCAAAATCTCAGCTGAAAGACATTTACAAGGGAATCATGTGGCAGAACTGAATAATGTGGAAATTTTCTGCTGGATATGACCTCTATGAATTTTCAAGCTCAGAAATAGCATGGAACTTGAAATTATATTTTCATTTAGTTTTGGTCACTTTTATCCTACTTCAAAGCTTCCAGCAAGTAGTTTATTCATTATTTCCATCTCATTATCTGTTGTGGAGAAATTTACCACAGCATAAATCTGGTAGCAGAGCCTAGTTACTGATTTTTCTGGCATTTAATGCCTGTAGGTGACAAGTGTCTTTCTGCTTTTGCTTTTCACTGATAAGACTGTTGGTGATGGGTTGGTTATTTGGATTATTGAAAGATGTCTTAACACCAGGAAGTCAGGTTTTTTGAGGAGAGGAACTCATGGAGTTTTCTCAGTTTTCTGGTCATCTAGTTGAGAGTTTTTGTTTTTTGCTGTGGTTTGTTTTCTTAAATTTTCAATGTAGCCATCTTGAACTGCTTGCCATAATTTTTTAGAAATTGTATACAGGTATTTTGAATAAGCCCTATTGTGTGAGCTCACCTGTCTCATTCATTTCTAAAAATTTGGTTGGTTGTGGCCCATAAACAAATGGGTGTATTCTCCAATCTGCTTTTTATACAGTCAACCCCTGCTTAACAGACCTCCTGCTTAAAGGGTTTTGGTCTAACAGAAAACCTCTGGAAGCAATTATTCCTCCTGTTCAACGAACAAAATCCACCTTTGAGACTTCTGTTGGTTTAACATTGATGGTAAAAAGTAAAAATTGTAATCATTTAGTAATTGCATTTGCATAACAGCCTTTTGCACAACATACTTTTGCTCAACAGAATAGTCTTATGTTGCACAAGTTGAGTCCATTGTGTGAGGTCAACTGTATGTGGAGTCAACTGTATTGAGTCAACTCTATATGTGCAGAAACATTTTTGGGGATATGTCCATTATTGGAGCATCTCTGTCTGCAAATTGATGTTAACGGTCTTGAGTTATTTATTGCAGCTTCAACAGTACAGTGGTGCATTTTGAATGGGCAAGTTCATTCAGCTCTCAAAATTTAAATGCACTGTATTTATTTGCAAAGAAAAAAAAAGCAGTATCCTGCTATATTCCTGCGTCTGAGATCCTCAGAATATGGAATCATGACTGGTGGATACCAAGGACACGCCTTCTCGAGTTTCATATTGATTTCTAGTTATAGATGTCGCACGGAATTTGAGCGCTGATTTCGTTTTTGGTCACTTTTATTCTTCTTTTCAGAGCTTCCCTCCATTTTTATTTTTATCTCTATTTTCGTCTTAGGAGCTATTTTCAAGTGGGTAAATATATATTTATAAGGAACTCAGGAGGAGGAGGAGGAGGGGGATAAATAAATCGCCGAAAAGTTCATTCCGCTCGTTCCAGCAGACAGCTCCGTCACGCTGGTGGATGTGCACGCCATTCATTGACCAGTGGAGCGTCCACAGCGGACATTCTCGACAGGCCTGTATTGTTATTCTCTTTCCCTTTTTTTATTTCGTTTTTTTTTATCTTCCTCATTCTCGGAATCAAAAGGGCAGTCTTGAAAAAAAAGAGGGGCTTTCCAAAATTGGTTTTGGTTTCTCTCAAAATTGTAAAACAAATTTTCTGGTTTTTAAAAGAGATACAGTCAACCCCTGACTTACTTTGGGGAAACAAAAGAGTCTGTTGTGTGGAAATTCTGTTTTGCAAATTCAATAATTAAAAAATTGGAATTTTTACTTTTCAGTCACCATGAATTTCAAAGCAACAGAAGTATGTTACATGGATTTTGTTTGAGAGGCAGGCAGTTTTGATAAACTGCCTCTAGAGCAGGTTGTCTGTTAGGCGAAAGTCCCTTGGGTGGGGGTTGACTGTACAGTGGGTCGAACTCAATATATACACCCAACACCCAATCATGCATTTGTATTACAGTATTCATGCATTATATGTTCTGGGATGAATTTTTCTTTTAATGGCCATATCTGAATTCTGACCAGTGGCAAATGAAGCTTCTTTATCTATCTACTGTATCTATATAGTGCTGCCCAGCAAACATGCTGACAATCTGACTTTGAAATACAGTATTTGAAACTGAAATATCTGCCCCAACATTTCTGGACAATTTTTCATTTCACATGGACACTTTTCCAGTTTTTCTAGAAAAAATTGAAAAACATCATTTTTTGCAATTATATCTTGTCAAAAAATTGAGCTATTGCAGAAGAATTTAGATTAAAATTCATTATAAAGTTAATATGATTTATAATAAATAACAGGCTAATTTTGTGCTGCTTTTTCCCATATTTTTCATCATTTGTGCAAATTAGAGATGGACTTCAGTATAAGTTGATAGAAATGATGGTGGTTACAGAAACACAAAATTTTAATTTTAACCAGTTTTGTTGCATGCATTTTTCATTCCAGGAACTAGGACTAATCATAAAAATGCTCAGGACACCAACAAATCAAGTAGATTTAAAAATGTGTTTATTATTCTAATACAGAGTATAGCTGGAAATTTGCTTGAACCATGACTATTCACATTGATTTGATATGACAGATTACAGTAAACCCTGGCTAATTCACCTATGGCAAATGGATTTTCATCCATGGAGGTACCAACTTTAGAGGCAGTTTTTCATCCCAACTAATGTACAGAGGCCATCTGATGTACCTCAGCCTAATTAAAAAGTTTAACATATAAACCTGTAGGAAAATAAAATTTGTCTGACATACTTTTTGTCTAACACATGTATCTACTGCACAGTTCAAGTACATTAGATGGGGGTTGATTGTATTTCTAGAATATATTGTTTATATAAATTGCTGCACAAAAAATATGACTGCACAACAATTTTCAGAATATTCTTGCATTTCTTTCATTTTTTGTGGCAAAAATGCAATGTTATTTGAAAAGCTAAAAAAGGCATTCACAGATTAAAGCTTATATCTGTAAATCACTCACAAAAATTAAAGCAAAAAGTTTTTTAAAAAACTCCTTCGACTGCGTTTAATCTCACAAAACATTTGAAAAATTAGCTCACGAAAAGATGAAACTATTTTTTGGTCAACCCTTGACCATGTGCTTGAGACTTCAATGCGCGTGATTCGGGTAAATTTCATGATTCTCTGGCCAATTCCAACCCTTATGAAATGCTGGAACTGAAACCCACACAAAGACCTTGATTCTTATACGTGCACTCTCCAATAAAAGGATGCAGGGATTGTAACATCCTGTCCAAAAGAGGAAATAAAGTGGGAAGAGCTGTCGTGTTATGAATAAGACGAAAAAAGTAATTATCCGGTCCAGGAAATAATTTTTTCGAGGTCTCTTCCCTGAGAAAAATGCAGATATTGTATTACTGCTTTAGGTACAGTGTTCACAAAATAAAATTTTAATTGCTGCATTATTTGTCAAAAATGAGAAATTAGTAAATGCTTGGACTCTTACACAGTAGATCATGTAATAGTCCCATATGAAACATAACCATTCCTTCTTTTATTATTACAGTAAAATCTGATGGCAACAAATCTCATTTTAACCAAAAATTGATGACATTGAAGTATTTCTCCAGGTCCCTGCCCAATAGCCAAATTTTCAAATGAAATGCATTTTCTGACAGTTCAGAACCCAGCTGAAGCAATCGAGGAAACGTTTTGGAGGATATTTCAGCAGACATTTGACGAAGTCCCGAAGAAACTGATTTTTTCCAACTTTTTACTCAAATTCAAATGCTACGAGCCTCACACAACTTCCAATTGCAAATAAACTTCCTCTATTCGTTTGAATGGGAGTCCAATCTACAACAAAATAATGAAACATTGGTCACAATAATGTTTCACCTTTCTGAAAATTTTTTTTGTCAATATCCCAGGACTTCATGGAAAAACTTCCTCCAGGAGGCAAAAAAGCCCCGGATTGACATAAACAAAAATGCCTCACGCGGAAAATTTCACGAAAATCTATTTTTAAAATTGGCGTTCTTAAAAAAAATCTCAAACGTGGCAAGAAATAATCGAATGTGGCTCTAAAAAATATTGACATGGATTTGCATCATCGATTTTCCGAGTTTTTGCCGGCCTGAAAATGACGCTCCAAAGAACAAACCGAGACGATGCATTTCTTCATTTTCAAATTTCCCACAGCAATTTCGATTTTTGTTGCCCAAAACGCCCATAATTTTCATATTTTAAATGGATCATATGAATAATTTTTACGAAATCAGCGGAAATAAAAAAAAAAGCCAGCTGCTGAACTGATTTTCAAGTTGCGTGATCATGAAGATGTTTTGATGATTTCCATTTCGAACGTGTATAAACACTTTTAAAAATTGTCAAAATACATTATCCACTCATTTTTAAACAATTGATAAATTGATTCGTTTAGAAAAACATTAAACCTTTTTTTCAAATTCACAATAAGTAATTTCTCCTTCTCAAATCATTTTCAGATATTTTGCATTAATTATTTTTCATATGTGTAATAATTTTGCTATGCTCATTAAAAAATCCACTTATTGCCTTTAAAAAAATTGGTGAATTTTTTTCGTATTGTAAAACATTGGAAAATTTTTTTTTCTCTCGAATTCCCAAGTAATATTTCTTTCTCAATTCATTTTGAGAGAATGATGCACTTCGTCAAGCACGAAACTTCACGTCTCCCTGATTTCAGGCGAGACAACCGTAACAAAAATAAATCTCGGTTAACGATTTCATTGCTTGCCCCTAAAAGAACCGTTTTTCCTTGAGAATTTATTTTTCCTGCTCAAAAAATGTGCCAAACATGTCGAAGGTTCGCAGACAGCAACGTATTGCAGCTAAAAAAGGCTTCTCGCAATGATGTGAAGTTTTTCTTTTCTACTTTCAAATCTTACAGTAATTTGGTTTCAAATCTGTGGAATGCAACTTTAGCCTCTTCTTCCCTTAAGAAAAAACCTTCGCAAACTCTTTCTTTCTCTCTCTGTTTTTTTTTCGCTGAAAATTTTTGTTGCATGAATCTCGAGGATGAAATTGTAGAGAGTCTTTGGATAAACCTTGTGAGGGAACCATGACGGAATTTGAGTCGAGAGACGATTCGCAGCTCGAGCTGGAATCCAGGCCCGAGGCCAGGCAACTGCTGTACTATTACCAACTGAAACCCAGTAACCAGACCCGGGTTGAGCTGGTTGAAGGGCCGGTTTGGGCGGATGTCGTGCCTGCGAGGATTCTGAGAAGGGCCGAGTTGATTCGGCTGTTTGAGGATTTTGTGGGACTCGGGTTCCAGGTTCATCTGGATACTGATGGTTTGCTTCTTTTTTGTGTGTGTGTGTAACAAGATTATTATTTTACTTGCAATTCCTGGCAATTGAATGTACAGTATAATGAATACATTAACTTCAACCCATCAGATGAACCTCTTCAAGTCTAGCTTTGATGAGGTATCAACAACATAAATTAGTCAGGAAAACAAGCAGCATTTATGCTGTGAAAAAAAATTACAGGACATAGCAATTTTGGTACTTTCCTGTTATCTCTGTACCTTCCCTCTGACCAATTTAACCTGACCTAACCTAACCTAACTTCACCTAACCGCCTCTTAAAATCAGTCTCTGCTTTCTTTGGGTTTCTGCTGAAACTGATTTTGGGAGGCGGTTAGGTAAAGTTAGGTCAGGTTATGTTAATTAAAAAATATTTTCAACTAACATAACCTGACCTAACCTAACTTCACCTCACCACCTCCCAAAATCAGTTTCAGCAGAATGCGGAAAAATAAAATTCACAGTTTCTGGTAGGTTGTTGTGATTATGAATGCGTACTAAAGATTTGTCTGGATGGTAGTGCAGTCTTGGAATGAGGTACAGAGATAACATGAAAGTACCGCAATTTTTGACATTCTAGGCTCTAAATGGCTTTTTGAATGAGTTTATAGAATGCTCAACTTATTTGGGGAAATGGTTCATTTACCCAGCATGGCAGAAATTTACATTCCCTGAGTTCATTTATTTTGCAGCCATAATCAAAAGAGTTATGAATTTAAGGAAAGTGAAATGTTCTTGGAAAACATAATTTTTGAAGGAAATCATAACCCAGAATATAACAAATGCCTAATTTCTTCAGTTATTTTTTTTTGTCTGCAAATAATAAGACTTCAACTCTTGGGCGGTGCTGCCAGGATTTATTTGCACAATTCGTTGTCACTCGTAAAAGAAAAAAAAACACCTTTGATTATCCTGAGGAAAAAACTCCTTTTTATGCATCTTGAAAGGAAACGAATAGAGACTAAATAAGTAAATGAACCCCGGTGTCCAAGTTCAACAAGCTGTGAACTCATTAACAGGCAAGTTTATGCCCAGAATATCCTCATTTACAATTTCCTGCAATTTTTTACTCAACTCAAAACCTCCATAAGTCAACATGTTCTCCTATTCCTAGAAAGTTGCACTTCTGAGAGGTTCAACTGTATAAAGAAATTGAACCACCTACTGGGACTTGATTGTAACAAGATTTCTCTGTAAATTAGGTAAAGTTAGGTCAGGTTATGTTAATTAAAAAATATTTTTAACTAACATAACCTGACCTAACCTAACTTCACCTCACCACCTCCCAAAATCAGTTTCAGCAGAATGCGGAAAAATAAAATTCACAGATTCTGGTAGGTTGTTGTGATTATGAACTCCTCCTAAAGATTTGTCTGGATGGTAGTGCGGTCTAGGAATGAGGTACTGAGATAACAGGAAAGTACCACAATTTTTGACATTCTAGGCTCTAAATGGCTTTTTGAATGAGGTTATAGAATGCTCAACTTATTTGGGGAAATGGTTCATTTACCCAGCATGGCAGAAATTTAAATTCCCTGAGTTCATTCATTTTGCAGCCATAATCAAAAGAGTTATGAATTTGAGGAAAGTGAAATGTTCTTGGAAAACCTAATTTTTGAAGGAAATCATATAGCCCAGAATATAACAAATGTTTAATATCTTAAGTTATTTTTCTTTCGTTCTGCAAATAATAAAACTTCTATCTTGGGCGGGGCTGCCAGGATTTATTTTCATATTTTCACTAGTAAAAGAAAAAAAAAAGAAACACCTTTGATTATCCTAAGGAAAAAACACCTTTTATGCATCTTGAAAGGAAGTGAATAGAGACTAAATCAGCAAATGAACACCAGTGTCCAAGTTCAACAAGCTGTGAACTCATTAACAGGCAAGTTTATGCCCAGAATATCCTCATTTACAATTTCCTGCAATTTTTACTTTTGAGTTTTGGAGGTATTCAGTTGTACAAGAGGATAAGGATCTTTCAACGTGAAGACTCTCCAAGTTGACATATTTCTTTAACTTGGTGGATGACCCTGAACTAACATTGTTCTAAAGAGACATTTAGTTTTTGATTTACCGTTGAAAAAAAAAACAGGCTTTCCAGTGGTACACAGAGGCAAAGAAGCTTTCAAGTTTGTTCGCGGTCGTCGACCAACGTCAACCAGTATCCGCTCCAAGGACCCGCATAAACTCATCGACCGCTTCCGGAATAATCTCGCAATTGATCGCAAATCAGCAGCTCAGGTCAATAATATTTCCAGCTAATAATCCTCCTTTTCCCCTGCTGCAGAAATTAAAAATTAAACCCTGCGGGATGCGAATCCCCGGGATTAATTCTCAGGTGCTGCCGGCGAGAATTAGCGGCTCTTTTCGTCGGTCCCCTGGAGGGGAATCTTTGGAGAAACTTATTGTTGAAGAGGATCAAGTGTGCTTGGGTTAGTGGAATGAAATCGATGGGATCTTTTCGCTGATGAAAACGTTTTTTGACACGCTTTTGCAATCTCGGATTTTAGCGTCAGGTGCCGAAAATAACACGCCGGTTATTCTCAAAGGGCGCTGTTGCGAGCGGAATTTCCATTCTTCAGTGAGTTTCATCGGACTTTTCAAATATAAATATATAACACAGGGAGAAATATTCTAACGAGGAAAATATATTTTCGAACTTCATTGGCAAAATGATTATTTTCATTAAAACTGACTTCTTTCATTTAAGTGTACAGTTTCAATTCAAATATAATCATGAAAAAAAAAGAGTTCCAATAAAATAGTAGTTTTATACCTGATCAAATTTCGGTATTTTGATGAGAACCCTTTTTATTTCAATTGTAGCATGGTTTTGTGAGTAATTTCAATTAATCAAATTCAAATTTTATTTTTACAATTTGTCTTTGCTTTAAATCTCAATCGTAACGAAAGCAGTTCTCGCTTGAATTCCATAAAAGATTCCTGAAAACTTCAAAAATATTCAAGTCGTTTTGATGCCTGGAGGTGTGAAAAATATTCTTCTGCTATTTTTGATCCTGATTTTTAAAGGAATTGCTTTCCGTAAAACCTCAATAATCTTCAATTGCACGGACTTACAATTTTAATTTCGCTCAGGTTAAATTCAGAATCATGCAGTCAAAAAATACTTCCGAAGAACGGTTCCAAACTAATAATTGTTTTTCTCTCAATGAAATTCTGGTCTTATGAGAGAAACAGTTTTTTTTTTTCTTTTGAGTGTTCCAAGGTTTTGGGAGTCAATGTAAGTATTCAATATAAAATTTCATCATCAGTTTGTTTGCATTTCGATCGTAAAGAAAAGAGCTTCGAACGTTTGAATTATTCTAACTTTAAAACATTTTTCTGACCTTTGAATGGGAGATTTTGAAACATTCTCTCCTGCTTGTGATTTTTCGCTCGGGTGCTTTTTGCCTCTGAAGAATATTGTACAGAACTTTATTTTTCATTTTTCTATGCTTATTATATTTCTTTCGAAGGCAAGTTGCAGCACTCACGAGCTTGACAGTCCAATTGACGAAATTCAGGTCAGTGTTTGGAATCATGCATCACCTACATTTTTCGAGTACAGTATATCAAAACATTTGCATTCATATTCCAGATGATCAAGAATTACAAGAGGAAAAAGGACTCGAGTGGAAGAGAATTTGTTGAAACGACTCGGCAACTGAAAACTGTAAAAAGTCGACAGAGTTCCTTTCGTCGTAAAGAAAAACCTGATCGTTTTCAGGTGCCTTCGTCAGCATTAGCTGTTCAAAATGCAGCAGAACAAATTTCAGATTAATTTGTAAATCGAAATTTTCTTTTTTTTGCAGTCATCCTTAAACTTTGCTAGGTGCTACTTCGTTAGGAGCAGTGGCCTAAACATGTTAGTTGACGAAGTTCGGCACCTTTTCGAAAGCCTTTTCGTTTTTCTTATAGTTTGCAGTTGTTTCGCAGCGTGATGACTGAAAAGGATTCAAGGCCATTTTGCCAATTTTTCGCCTACAGAAAACCAGCCGGGCAAAAACTGGAAGAGGTCTTCATCATCTAGAGAAAATGGTGAATTCCTGCAAATTCCTGACAAATCACAAGTGGATAACAGGAATGAGGATGGACGAGATTGTGAAACCAATTTTTGCGATCAGACAGTCTTGGATGAATTTTCTTGGAAAATGGAGGCGGGGCTTCAAGCTTTGTGTGAACTGAAAAGGTTTCTTTTCTGCCTTTTCATTTTATCATCTATATTTCATTATCATAAATTTTCCGTTTTTTCCATAAAAAATTTCAAGAATCATGATCCCAGCAAATATAATCAGGCATAATTTTGGCAGGCATAAAAGTCAGGTATGAGATCACTCATAGCCAACCTATATTTCATTATCATAAATTTTCCGTTTTTTCCATAAAAAATTTCAAGAATCATGATCCCAGCAAATATAATCAGGCATAATTTTGGCAGGCATAAAATTCAGGTATGAGATCACTCATAGCCAACCCATAATCCATGGTTGAACCTTTAAACTAAAAATAACTGTAAATAAATGAAACTATAAATAACTAACTATAAATAAACTATAAATAACTAACTATAAATAATGATATTTATTGATTCTTAATTGATATTCATTCTCACTCACTCTACTCGGGGAGGTTAAAAGTCAGATTGAATTCAAAATATAAACACGTTTGTAAGGTAATAGAGAATTTGTATTATTAAAAACAAGGAACATTGAGTTGAGCATTGATGTTTCACTCACTTGATGAATGTATATAATATTTCAGAAAAAATTAGGCTGAATTCACTGAGTAACACTTGACCTTCAGTGAGATGAGCTCCTCCAATTTTCAGCCTAAATTTGGGATAAAATCCTACCCAAATCAAAGAAAAATATGCAACTAAATTTATTTGAACAAAAAATTCCAATTTCAAGTTGAATCTTGATAACTTGAACCTCTCTAAATCAAAAACATGTCCATGCCAATTTTTTTGGGGACACAGGAAATAAGACAGCCCTGAACATGTAATTTGATGCATTTCAAAATAATGTTCCTGATGATGACTTAAAGCTAAAATAAAGTATTGCCTTTCTGTTCAGCATATCCTGTCCATTGATTTGCAAAGCGATTCAAAGCCTATGAGACTCCCAATTTACTTCTCCGTATTTCTTGATTTTTTAGACATAAACATAAATGAAGGTTTCCCAACTAAAAAAATTCAAAGTGAAATTTTGTTGAACTTCTTCAAAATAAAATGCATCAGGATTTGAAAGTGGACTGGAACAGAAACTGAATTCAATTTAACTTCCGATTCCCTGGCGTCTAGGACTTGCATTTTTGACTTCTGACTTGAACTGAAAAACAAATAAAAATTAAATTAATTTATTCCAGACATTTATGATTTGAATTTATGACCTATTTTGAGTTTTAACTGGAACTGAATTCAATTCAATTTAAAATCCCAGACGCCTGAAGGAAATTGCAGACCACGGGCTCAAGTTCCCAGACACCAGCACATCCAGCAAAACCCAACCTTGTCGAAACCCAACCGATCCCAATAATACGGACCCATCCCAGAGTTCCCGGGTCATTGCGGGTCAAGACGAGAATAACCCCGATGTCGATAAAACACATTCCGATTCCAGTGCGAAAGACTCGAAAGCATCGCATCCTAGGTCGGAAATGCCCATTGAAATTATTTGCAACCTGTCTTTGCTTTTCAAGTACGAGAAAAAGTACTTGAAACAACTCAATGACTGCTTGGCCAAGATGAACATTCCGCCAATCCAGCCTGACGCTGTTGACCAATTTTTGCGGACTCTGGTGATTTTATTTTGTGCCAATAATTGCTTCTATAGTTGGACGAAATTTTAAATTCGGAAAGGAGTAAATGCAGGTGGACTCTCTAAAAAGAAATTAAAGGGACCAGAAAAAATTCGAAAAATTCCAGATTAAAATGCGGAAAATGGATAAATAATAAAATAAGTATAAATATATCTTTAAAGTTTTCAATCGTGAAGAAAAACTTGAACCTGCCCACAAAAATGGACGATCACAAAATAAATACAATTCTTGTCTTTTTGGACTTGATGAGGATCCAGATTTTTTTTCATCACGATCAAGTTGCTGAAGTGTTGTATTCATATTTATACGTGCACGTTAATTTTAAAGAACCGCTATTCCTTCTGAAAACTTGCTAAGGGAGCGCAAAAAAAAAAGAAATCTTAAAACAAAGAAAAAAGAATAGAGTTCCGCCTAGGTTTCTTGGGCTTTTGCCTGAAAATCCCGGGAAAATTTGAAGTTTGGCCAGAGCTTCGCAAGCAGACGGAAACCCATCAAGAAACTGAAACATCTTTCGCGGAAAAAGTGCCTTCAAAAACTCAAAACGAAGTGGCATCAGCACAAGTTTCAACGACGAATCAGGAAAACACTCCACAGAACGAAATCCCGCAAATGATGAAGAATTTGCACGACGAAGAAAAGAACATGTTTGGACCTCCTCGAGCAGATTCTCTTTCCAGAGCCGGTTCTAATCAACCCATTTTAGTTGAACCTCGGATTTCCACTAATAATCTAAGAAACAAACAAAATGTGTGTCAAAAGAAATCTGACTTTGGACGCAAATTCGTTTTTGGACCCGGTGAAGAAGAAGAGAGTTTAGTGAAGGATTTTGAACCTCTGACACCGAATTTCGGACGCGTTTCTAGACGTCCTTCAGGTATGATGAAAATTTTGATCTCGAAAATCCTGAGTTTATTTGTCAAAATATATTTTCTGTATAATCAATTCAGCTGCTGTGAATCCAAAAATCAACGATGACGATCCGGAAACTGGAGAAATTCATCTTCCAAATGCAATGGTTTGTATAGTTCAAATACATTTATTCTTGGAAAATACAGTATTTATTACAGTTGGGCCCCGAGATGCGGACATGATTGATCTTAATTTCCCCTGTGTCAAAACGTCCACATGTTGGGTCACGTTTTTGCATAGACTTCATTGGAACATATTCAATTGATTCTCCTGCGTACCAAAAATTAGAAAAAAGTCCCCCAAAACTTTGTTTTTTTTCTCAATGTAAATATACTGGATTTTATTGTAGAATGTAGAAAATACTAACATTTAATCTGATCTTTTGGCATGAAAAAAAGCCCAAAAACCACATAAATAGCACAATTCTTGCAGTTATGAGCACATATGGAAAAAAATGCTAAAAAATCTCAAATGAAGGAAAATGCATCTCCTTGAGGAACCCTGGCCTTGTACAAGTGGTACCTTGCAATTTGACCTGAATCTGTTGCCAAACTAAGGTCAAATTGTGAATCAGTCAAAAATGTCACGACGCTCCATGAAATTTAAAAATTTGAGTTGAAAAATGCAAAAAAGTGCCCAAAGCAGGTCAAATTGAGGGGCACAGGTTGAATTGGAAGTCAACCTCCATGAAAATTCAGCCATCAAATTGCAGGATGGTCAAATTGCAGGAGGTTGAATAGTAAGGTACCACCTGTATTTTAATATGAAATTTTATTGAGGAATTTCCAGGCACAGGATGTCCTATACCGGTACCAAAGTTTACACAATCCACCACCAATGCAAATTTTGAATGAAGAAATAACAGTAAATTGACTACCATGAAAAAAGATAAAAAATAATCTACCAAAATGAACCCGTTTTCTCATAATTAACCGGGTTTGGATTATGAATTTATGTGAATTTTTTTATAAATAATTTTCACTATTTGTGAATATAAACAGCTCAATTTGTCCAAGAGATGCCCAAATTTTTAGTGAAAGATTCTTTTAGAGATTTTGACTTAGTGTCTGCTGTATTTTAAGACAATGTCCTGACATTGCAACAGAATTGTTCTTATACTAAGTGTCCCTAAGTTGAATCATCTGCATGCTGGGGTACCTGTATTTTGGAGTCCCAACTGTGTGGCAAATCTGGAATATCTTTGCAACATTTTGTGCCCAAGTTCACAGCAAATTGATTTCTTATTTTTATACCATAGATTAGTATATTTTTATAACCCTGCAAAACATTTTGCATTACAAAAATTCCTCACTTGACAGTGTTTTTCCTGCATTCCTTGCATAGGATGAGCATTGAAGATTTCTGAAAGCAAAAGGTTCCACCATTGCCGTATGTTTCCTTATTTAGTCCTTGGAATCCAGGTGCATTTTAGTGACCTTGGTTCAAACTGAAATGCACCTGAGGGCATTTATAAATTCAGGACTTAGCCTCAGGATGGAAATGAGGCAGTTGCAATTCAAGGGTCAAAAATCAATACTCTTCTGGACATAGGCATAAAATGATTTTGAAATTTCAGAAGCAGTCACAAGTCAAACAACTTCTCGCTGATTTCCATCAAGAAGGAGAAACCGGAAGTGGCGAAGAAATCGGCATGACCTATTATTCTCCTGCACCAAAACATGTCAAACCAATTCACAGCAATCATAATCAACAGAAGGATTTGGCTAATATTCTGAAGCATAAAGAAAACTTGTGAGTATATACAAAAATTAAATATATTTTTTTCATTTAATATTCAATAACATTCAACAATTTAATAAGGAGGGCTTTCATGATGGACAAATCGCAGCCTTCGGGGACCATGGAATGCATTACGAGGGACTTCCTCCAAAGCCATTCGGACATTTCGTCGCCGACTTCGTTTCCATCGAGTCTGAGTCAGTCGCAACACAGTGGGATTGACAATAATAATAATGAAGAAGACGGACTTCGACTCACTTTTAAAAGCAGTTCAACAAAAAAAGAAGCAGGACGGAAATCTCGGGTTAGTTTCGCAGTTCGTCCCCCAATTTTTATAATCCTCCTCTTTTTTCATCAGGCTGTTTTGTTTCTACGAAGTTCAAAATCAACGTGGTGCATGGATTTTTAAATTTTCGAAAAATCATTGAAAGCAAACCTCATGCAGTAAATTAGTCAAGCATTCATTGTTGAGTGACCTGTCGCAAAAATGAATGGTAGAATACAATTTGCTGTGCTAAATAACAAAAACTCAAGAATCCAAATTCTTGGAAGATTTGTCCTCTTCCATCTTTGTGTGAACCAGGAAAAACTCTGGTTCACACGCCCATTTTCTCAAAACCTCCAAGGTTCTTTTCATTGCCGAATTTCTGGAAAACTAGAAAAAGCTGTTACTCATCCTTGAAGGGTAGTTTTCCTGTTTTCCTTTTTTTTTTATCTAAAAATTACACTTCTTCACAAGCTCTCCTCTGCAACACTCAAGCTATTTTCTGAGATTTGTATGTGTTTGAATTACAACAACCTCATGATAGGGTGAAATTTCATCCTGGTCATAGCCCAACCAAATTCTTAGCTTTATTTATTTCAAACGTATTTATTCTACTAAGTTCTAAAATCATTCCTAACATAACCAAAGCTAACTCCCACAAATTTTAGGGATTAACCACCTGAGTGGGGAGCTATTCTTTGTGAGACCCCATGACTTGTGCACACTGGGGTCAAAACTGGTGTACATGGGCTATTCTAGCTTTACAAGCATGCACCTCTGTAGATGAAATTTTTGCTACCATTC